GCCTGGCCGTGGCACTCAGTGCTCTGGGCTGGGGGACAAGGTGGGGATGGGGCACAGGGGGGATCCATGGGCTGGGAGGGCTTTTCCAGCCTCAGTGACTCTGGGACTGTGTGAATTTACGGGTGAACACGGAGGGCAGAGCCCCAGCACAGAGGGCTTTACAAGTGCAGAAGCGCCTCTGAGGGCCAGAGGCTGCATTTTCTCTTCTTCACAAACCCGTTTGCTCTCCCATGTCCTGGGTCAGGCACAGAAATGGGGGTTAAAGGCAATTTCCCCCCAGAGATGAGATGGCAAAGATAAGCCTTGCCAGGAGACACCCACACACGGCCGAGTGAGGGACACCCGGCCCCGGGGCTGTGTTTGCCTTTGTACCATCCAGTTTGGCTTTATTGTGCAACACATTATGGTTTTAATTAAACATTCCGTGTCTCACCGGTCAGACGGGGATAGCCAGAGCTTCCCCTCTCTCATTCCCTCGGAGCGAGGCTGCAAACGCTCCTCTCACGAACTTTATGGTTATTTCCTCCAGGGATTTATTCCCCCAATAAAAACGACGTGCGCTGCCAGCACGGTGGCTGCAGCCGTGCCAGACATAAATCACCGGGGCCGTAAACGTGTCGCCCAATAAAGTACCGGGAGACGATCCTGCCCGCTGGGAGAGCATCACAGCCGGGAGGGATGAGTCCCGTCCCTCACAGCCGGGAGGGATGAGTCCCGTCCCTCGCAGCCGGGAGGGATGAGTCCCGTCCCTCACAGCCGGGAGGGATGAGTCCCGTCCCTCACAGCCGGGAGGGATGAGTCCCGTCCCTCGCAGCCGGGAGAGACGAGTCCCGTCCCTCGCCGTCCCAGCGCCGCGCTCGGCCCGGCCCATTGGCCCGGGGGGTGTTATAAGCGCTGCCCTCCCGGTCGGGGACGGGGATTCGGGTCCTGCCTCAGCATCGCGCCGGGGCCGCGCTGCCCGTGCCGGCCCAGAGCCCCCGGACCCCGCTCGGTGAGTGCCACGGGCGGGCAGCGCTGCCCGTCCCTCCGCTCCCGCGGCTCGGGGGGCACCGGCTCGGGGTGGGTGTGTGGCCGAGGAGCCGCTCGGCAGGTCCGAGGGACCCTCCGGGAGGGATGTGCCGGGGCAGGCGGGTGGATGGGACCTCGCCCGGGCCGGTCGGGCCGTGGCGGTGCCGCGGGTCGTGCCGAGGGCTCTGTGCGGGACCCCCCTGCTCTGCCACCCTCGCGCGGTGGGAACGGCACGTCCCTGCCCTCGCCTCTGAAGTCGACAGAAATCGGGCTCCGTGGGTGTTGCGTCCCCAGAGCCCCTTTGCCGAGCCCTCGCTCGTCGCTTGAGTTGGCAGCGGTGCCGTTGTGAAAATAGCAACGGCTCCTCTTGGGAAAGGAGCAGATTTCTGAGTCCCATCCTCCCCGGTCCCGGCTCCCAAGGCTCTGCTCCTGCCTACGCTGACAAGAACCCTTAAAGCACCAGTACTTTGAGTTATTGGTGAAAATCAGGGCCGGGGACAGGCAGGAAATCAGGAGGTGGCTTTTGAGGGCTGGAAAAGCAGGGACAGCTCCATGTCCTTCACGAAGCTTCTGCCTTGGTGCCTGACCCCTTCCCCCGGGCAGGCTGGGGTGGCCCTGGGGAGCAGCAACACCTCGGGCACTGAGCAGGGGCACAGCCCCCTCTCTGTGGCAGGATGCCACAGTCACCCCCCAGGGGCTGCCAGGAATCTTTCACTTGATATCCTCCAGGAACTGGAGGTTTGCTTCCTCCTCAGGGCTTGGCTGCAGTGAGGAAGGTGCAGTTGCCATCCCATGATAGTCTGCTGGGAGATCTTTTCTGACCTGATTGTCATTGTGTGATTCTGTAAGTGATGTGTGTCCCATGGGCTGTGCTGTGTTATCTCTACATGTGTAAATGTACACACACATGAACGAGCATGTGTGGCTGTTTATCTTTTTTACAGTTACATGTGTATATATTTATCTATAGCATTTATAGACGCACATAAAGCATGGAGGGGTAAAACCACCTTGGAGTGGGATCCGTGTTGGAGCACATAACAAACCAGAGCAGCTCAGAGAGGAGCACAGTGAATAAGTCCTATTTCGGGGTAACTTCTGTAGCGTGGTGGAGTTGCTGGTGTCTGACAAAGTCAGGTTCAAGTGGGGGTTTTCTTGTAGGAGGAGCCTCCCCTACAGACCCAGGGAGTTCTCACCGGTCCTTTCTTTCCCACTGTACTCCAACAGCGTCTCCCCTTTATCCACCTCCGTATTCCTGGAAAACTGTTGCATCTCAGTGTCTTTGAGAGCTCTGGACCCCTGCCAGAAGCTGCTCTTGGAGCTGCTCTTGGGGACACTCAGGCAGACACACAGGCCTGGAGTTTTTTGGAATTTTTTAGGTTTTTAACCCAGCCCCAGATGAACCTGAACTGCAGGAGTTGGCAGGTTGATGTCACTGCTCAGATCACAGAATTATGGAATGGTTTGAGTTGGAGGGACCTTAAAGCCCATCCAGTGCCACCCACCCACGTCTGAGCCACCCCCAGGCTCTCCTGAAGAAGGGCTGTGATTATGCCCTCAGCTCCTGACACGGAAGGGCTGCAGGTCAAGGTGATTCCTGATACCAACTAGTGTCTTTGCCCCGCCTGGAGGAAAGTAAATGACTTAGGATTTTCCCCAGTTCCCATAATTTACATGTTGCTTTTGCCCTGGAGCAGGAAGGCGTTTGTCCTTGCTAAGCTTTGGGATTTATTGTCACGTTAGACTCTCAAACTGAGACTCTAATGAAGCAAAATCATATTAGGGCCCTAATAAATGCGTCATGGAAGAGCTGTGTGTTATTCAAAGATGAGCTGTGTTACATTTAACCCCCTGGCTCTCAGATCAGGCCCTCTGTGACCTGCGTGTTTCACATCCTACACAAGGTGCAGAAAGACTGAAGCCACAAATACTCTTTTCCTTTAATTAGCTCTTGTTTTGCACATTTGCTGCTTTCTTCCACCCACCCAGCGAGTCCTTCTGTCACTGAGGGGGTTTGGGGACCCCGACAGCCTCTGCAGCATCTCTGCTGGGCGCTTTGTCACGTAAGTGTAGGAACCTGGAATGTGTGAGGCTCAGAGGTTTGCTGGATAATTCAGGTTGGAGACACTTCAGAAGATCTCTAGTCCAACATCAGCCTCCAGACAGGGCCATCTGTGAGGTCAGACAGGGCTGTTCGTGGCTTTGACCAGTTGGGTCTTGAAAACTTCTGAGGATGGAAATGTGCAGCCTCTGACAACCTGCTCCAATGCTTGATGGGGAAACATTTCTCATTTTATCCAGTCTAAAGCCCCCTTGTTTCAACTTATACCTGTTGTCTCTCATCCTCCTGCCATGCTCTGCTCTGAAGAGCCTGATGCAGCCTCCTTGGTGCCTCCCAGGAGGTGGGGGAAAGCTGGTGGTGAATCCCTGCACATCTTCCCTTCTCCAAGCTGAACAAGCCTTTCTCCTTGGTCTCTCACTCCAGAGCACTGCTCCAACCCCACCCATCCCAGCGGGCTCCTGCTGAACTCCCCAGAGCAGACACTGCTGGATTTCCATAAAGGCTTCACTCACCTCCTACTCTTGATCCCTGTAAAACCCCCACCATTTCCCACACCCCCCTGCCCTCCAATCCAGACCCAGAGACGTTCCCTGGATCCTCCCCAGGGCTCTGAACCTGCAACATCTTGTGCTTTGCCTTGTGTTTGCTTGTTATTGATAAATTCACAGGCACCACCCAGGTGGGGTTCTGCTCATCTCTCTGCACATGGCAGTAGGATTGTAAGAGCCACTGAAAATCCTCCTTCCCATGGGACCCACCTTCTGAGCCGAGAGCAGGAGGGGCTGAGTGCCTGATTCTCTGGTACATTTTACATCCTGGAACCCCAGAATGATTTGGGATGGAAGGGACCCCAAAGCCCACCCAGTGCCACCCCCTGCCATGGGCAGGGACACCTTCCACCAGCCCAGGTTGCTCCAAGCCCCGTCCAACCTGGCCTTGGACACTTCCAGGGATCCAGGGGCAGCCACAGCTTCTCTGGGCAACCTGGGCCAGGGCCAAGAAATTTTGCGTTTGTTTCCAAGGTTGATTCCTAAATAAGAAGTATCAGAGTTAAAATGTCACCGTTTTTTCACCCGGTCGTCCTCAAAAAGAAGCCTTAGCTTAGCAGCTTGGTCTTGGCTGGGATGATCACAGAAAAGGCATTTGCCCACTCAACAAAGCATCTCAAACTCTGGAATTTGGGGATGACTGTGAAGCAGTGTTGCTCACTAGGAAGGTTTTCTCTTCCATTCTGAAGTTTTTATTTTTTTTTCTTTTTCAAGAAAAAATGTCCATCCATTTCCTTCATTCTAGGATTTAATGGATAAACAGGAGTGCAGTCATATTTGACACTGTGGTAGCTGTGCCAGTGTCCAAAGAGCACGTGGGTGCCTGCTCAGGTTGGAGGGGAGGTGGAGGGATGTGCAGCTTCTCTATTCAGTGCAGAGTCCGACTACCTGGAGTTTGTGTTGTTGGTGTGTTTTAGGTCTAGTCCATGCGAGAGCTGAGCTGGGATGGAGCAGGACTCACGTGCCACGTGGGAGTTCAATGGCTCCTTCCATCAGCCTTCAGCTTTCCTCATGCTGGGCATCCCAGGCCTGGAAGCCCTTCACCCCTGGATCTCCATCCCTTTCTGTGCTCTCTACCTCACTGCTCTCTTGGGGAACTGCATGATCCTGTTCATCATCAGGAGGACCCAAAGTCTCCACGAGCCAATGTACTACTTCCTGTGCATGCTGGCGGTCACCGACCTGGGCCTGGCCCTGTGCACCCTGCCCACCACGCTGGGCCTCTTCTGGTTCAACCTGCGCAGCATCGGCTTCGATGCCTGCCTCGCCCAGATGTACTTCATCCACATCCTGTCCTTCATCGAGTCCTCCGTGCTCCTGGCCATGGCCTTCGACCGCTTCATTGCCATCTCCCGCCCCCTGAGACACCCCTCCATCCTGACCAAGGCCACTGTCACAAAGATAGGCCTGGCCATCGTGCTCAGGGGGATGATCTCCCTCCTTCCCATTCCCTTCCTGCTCAAGAGACTGACCTACTGCGGGAAGACGGAGCTGTCCCACTCCTTCTGCTTCCATCCCGACATCATGAACCTGGCGTGTGCAGACATAAAGGTCAATGTCTTCTATGGCATGATCATTCTCTTGTCCACGGTGGGGATGGACTTCATCTTCATCGTGCTGTCCTACATCCTCATCATCAAAACCGTCGTCAGCCTCGCAACCAAGGAGGAGTGTCTCAAGGCCCTGAACACGTGTGTGTCCCACATCTGTGCTGTCCTGGTGTTCTTCATCCCCATGATCGGCCTGTCCATGATCCACCGCTTTGGGAAGAACGTTCCCCCTCTGGTGAACACTTTGGTGGCCTACACCTACCTCCTCATCCCCCCCGCCCTGAACCCCGTCATCTACAGCATCAAATCCAGCCACATCCGCGAGGCCTTGCTCAGGGCCCTGCGCAGGAGCAGTGGGGCTGACTGGTAGCTTCCCCCACCAGCTCTGCCAGAAAGTGCTGCTGGACTGGTTTCTCAGTCAGGGACAGCAGACTGGTTTCTTGGTCAGACCTGGTTCACTGCTTTCTTGGTCAGAGCCCTTGGACTGGTTTCTTGGTCAGACCTGGTTCACTGGTTTCTTGGTCATAGCTGCTGGACTGGCATCTTGGTCAGAGCTCTTGGACTGCTTTCTTGGTCAGAGTTGCTGGACTGGTTTCTTGGCCAGAGCTGCTGTACTGGTCTCTTGGTCAGAGCTCTTGGACTGGTTTCTCTCAGAGCTGGTGGGCTGGTTCCTTGGTGCTCCATGCACACAGCAGGTCACTGCCAGAGGAAAGAGCTGCAGATCCACTCAGATGCTGTCTCCCAACCCAGAGCTGTGAACTTCCCTGTTGTGTCCCAGCATGATGCCTTCATCCCTTCCAGCAGCCTGTGAACACCCTGAGCATTAATGGAACCCCAGTGAGAGGGAGGCAATTAAAGAAACATGGGCTGCATGACTTTGTCTTTCCAAGTCATGGGGGGGGGGAAATCGAGGAACCTCTATCACATGTGAGACAAACTCGTAGCAGATAACAGGGTGTGACCTTCATTGAGAGACCCTTGCATGGGGTCATTGTCCCCTCCCCACCTGCCACAGCAGCAACTCCACAGGACAGGGCTTGGGCCAGGAGCTGGGAGCCACCCTGGCTGTCCCAGCCCTTGGCTGTTCAGCTGGAAACATCCCCCAGGGTGCAGCTCAGTCCAGGGGCTGAGCCCAGAGCAGTTCTGGCCAGGTCCTGCTGAGGGGGCCTGGACACTCTCAACCTCCATCCGTCTCTGAAATGCTGTGTTGTGCTGCTTGGGGCAGGGGTTGAGTTAATTTAGTCACAGGGACTGGTGTGGGGCTGTGTTTGTTTTGTGCTGAACACAGGGCTGAGAACACAGAGATGGTTTTGTTAGTGTTGAGCTCACCCAGAGCCAAGGCCTTTCCTGCCCCTGGTACAGCCCCACTGGGGAGATGGGTGGGCTGGGGGTGTGGGAAGTTTGGAGGAAACACAGCTGGGACAGGTGGCTGAGCCAGGGGACATTCCAGACCATAGGACAACGTGCCCAGTATATGAAGGGTGGGGGAGAAGGAGGAAGGGGGGGACATTTGGGTTGATGCTCTTTGTCTACCCAAGTCTCTGTTACACGTGAGAGGGCCCTGCTGTCCTGGAGGAGCTGAACACCTGCTGCTCATGGAAGAGGGAATTAATTCCTTGTTTTGCTTTGCTTGTGTGTGTGGCTTTTGCTTTCCCTAGTAAAGTATCTTTATCCCAACCCACTGGTTATCCAGCTGTCCCCACTCCAGTTCTCTCCCTCATCCCACTGGTGGGGCAGTGACCAAGGGGTTGCTGGGGCTTGGCTGTTGCCCGGGGTTAAACCACAACACATGTCCATCCACAGGGATGGAAACAGCTCTTTTCCATCTCTTTTGGATGTCTTTGAGGCCCTCAATCTTGCCAAGTCTAATTAATATCCCAGTCACTGTTTTGCATTAAATGTCATGTGTGTGAGCAGCATCTTCAATAAAATGCATCAGTTCGTTGTGAAAGGGCACAGAACTTGATGAAGCCTTTTTTGCCCAAGATATTAGGTTGGAGTTGCTTAAAATCTTCAGGATGTGCTGTAGATGAACAGGACTGTATGAGTTAGGTGTGATTTGGGATGGGCCTGAGGGTCTGGTGGGGCTGGAAGCTCTTGCTGAAATAAAGGGGGCTCAAAGACATCATAGGAAGGGCTAAAACTCCTGACACAAAGGACCACGTCCTACAGCCTTCCAGCTGAGGTGTGCTGTGCTGGCTGTGCCCCTCGGAGGGATGGGAGGAGGAGATGTCAGGGAGGGGACAGTGTGTCCCAGCAGCTGCTCTGCTATGGGCTGGGTCTGAGCCAGATGTGCAGAGGGTTCATGGTCCTCCTGGATCGTGGCCTCCCACAGACAGAATAAAATGCCCCAAAATCATGGAATAGAGTCCCAGAATCACTGAGGCTGGAAAAGCCCCAAAATCATGGAACAGAGTCCCAGAATCATTGAGGCTGGAAAAGCCCCCCCAGCCCATGGAGTCCACCCTGTCTGTGCCCGATGCCCACCTTGTCCCCCTGCCCAGAGCACTGAGTGCCACAGCCAGCTGTAAATATTTCACTCCTCCAAATCATGGAGCTGTATTTTTGTTCATTTTAAGCCATATTTTGTCCAGTCTTGGCCGTGGTGGAGAATAGGAAGCAATGGCCAGGGTTCACCTTGGAAGGGGAAGCAGCAGAAGGTGCTGGGACAGGACCCCACACCCAAACTGGCCTGTCTCTGCCTGACATTGGGCACTTCCCCCTCAGACCAGCCCAGATGAGTGTCTTTCTTTTCTGCTCCATCCAAACAGTAGCTGGAATGGAGAGAAAAAATAATGCAGAAACATCTCCATTAAAAAAAGCCCAGAGAGAGGGCAGGGAAGATTCCTGAGGGGAGGGTTCCCAGGCCACTCTTTGCTCTGTGTTGTGCTCATTATCTCACTGAGTGTCCCAGGGTGTTCAGTGACAGCCCCCTGAGCTCTGCCTGGCACAGCAGGTCCTCGGGGGCAGGTCCTGCTGGCACTGGGACAGCACCAAAGGGGACAACTCTGCTCCAACATGTGCAGTGTAACCTGGAGCCTGCAGGAGTCACATAAGGGAGAGACTTCAGCAGGAAAGGGCTTTGCTGGAGGGTTGCCTGGCTTGGGCCATCCTCACACAGGGTTCTGAGAACAATGATTCAGAATTCTGAGGAGATTCTGAGATTGCTCCCAGCCTGAAAAGTTGCAGAGTTCCTCCCTGGGTGTCTGTGCTTCCTCACTGCAGCCGTTCTCCAACACAGCCCCAGCCCCAGGAGCCTCTGCCACAGTAAGAAAACATTTGTGGGGGACAGGGAGGGTGTGGGGGGTGTGTCAGCACATCTGTCAGCACAGCTGGAGAGCACTGTAGAGTGGGAATGAGAGAGGGAGAGATAAAGATGGGGAAGAGGAAGGGAGAATGGGAGAACGAGAAGGAGGAGGAGAAGAAAGAGGGAGAAAACAGGCTGAGAGCTGGGGGGGTTCACCTGGAGAAGAGAAGGCTCCAGGGAGACCTGAGAGCCCCTTCCAGGGCCTAAAGAGGCTCCAGGAGAGCTGGAGAGGGACTTTTGATAAGGGCCTGGAGGGACAAGACAAGGGGTAATGACTTTAAACTAAGAGGGCAAGGTGAGATGGGATATTGGGAAGGAATTCCTGGCTGGAGGAATGGAGGGACAAGACACAGGGAATGGCTTCCCACTGCCAGAGGGGAGGGTTAGATGGGATATTGGGAAGGAATTCCTCCCTGTGAGGGTGGGGAGGCCCTGGCCCAGGTTGCCCAGAGAAGCTGTGGCTGCCCCTGGATCCCTGGAGTGCCCAAGGCCAGGTTGGACGGGGCTTGGAGCAACCTGGGCTGGTGGAAGGTGTCCCTGCCCATGGCAGGGGTGGCACTGGATGGGCTTTGAGGTCCCTCCCAACCCAAACCATTCCATGGTCCTGTGGCAAGGTGGTGATCTGTCAAAGGTTGGACTCGATGATCTTGGAGGTCTTTTCCACCCTAAATGATTCTGTGACTCAGTGATTTACTGAGAGGAGCTGCTGTGGCTGCTCTTGGATCCCCTCAGGAAAATAAACATGCATTTACTGGTGTTTTTAGAGATAGGTAATCTGTCTTTTAACAGTATATCCAGTTTTATCTCTACAGAAAGCCAGGCCCTCACAGCACCTGGTTCTCATCCCACCAGCAATCCCAAATCACGAGTCACTTCTGAAAACAGGACACATTTATTGATGCCAAAGAACCAGAGCCAAACTGCAGCCTCAGGGATTGTTTCAGTGCCTGTCTCACAGCCCCAGGGAAGGGAATGGGAGGGCAGGGGTTGTCCAGTGGGACTCGGGCTGTAATTGCCCTCCAGGGCTGGCAGGTGAGTTGCCTCAGGTACCTGTTGGTGACTGGTGAGGCTCCTTGTTCTTCTTAATGCCAGGGCTGGGCTGCCAGTGCCATCCCTGTGGGCACAGTGACAGCACCAGTCCACCCACGCCGTGAGTAAACTGGGTATAAAAAGCTACAATATGAGTCTTATTTGTTACAGATCCAAGATGGAAAAGCCCCACATCAGGGGAACAAAGCGATGCTATTTTAGGGCTTCACCATAGATATGCAGTAAAACCCCCACGGTTTCAAACCCCACGCCACTCATCAAATAATTGCATTAATAACCTGCAGAGCTTGTCGTAAACCCACTTTGCATCCACGATTTACACGGATTGGGCACAAGAGGAATAACCAGAAGGCTCAGGTTATGCACTTAATCTTGTGCTGTCCCTCCAGGGCAGGGGGGTGGTGGTTTTGTTCTGCCACTGCTACAGCCAGGTACCGACTTGGTGGCTGGGGATAGAAAAGCACCCAAAGCAAAGGTTTTTGCAGACCTTCGTGGCCATTTCCTTTGGATCACAACCCTCCCGGAAAATCTGCAGATACAGAATAAGGTGAACAATGTGATTACTTTCTTTTTCTACAGATATTCTGATTTTTCCATACGCGTTTTCAGGCTGAAAATCCAATCTGTATGTGCAAAAAAAAGTTAAGATAGCCGATTCTGCCTGTGCCCGTGTGCAGTTCTGGGGAGGGCTGGGCCGTGGGAGGCAGCACCACCAGCTTAGCACATTTCTGACAGGGCACTGCAGCACATATGGAAGAAATCAAGCAGAGCTGAAGTTTTACAGGAAACACTGAAATCCTGTTGGTTTTTTATTATTATTTTTAATTTTTCCCTTTAAAATGAAAAGAAAACAAGTTCAGCTGAGGGGTTAATTATGTGAAATGTTGGGTTTATGCTATTCTGCCCGTTAAGAGAATTCAGGCAGTTCCTGTTCGAGCTCAAATGGCAGCATTTTGTCACTGCAGGTGTTGTTGCCACGGGCGGGTGTGGGACTGGGAGAGGAGCTGCCCGCCCTGGTGTGACCCACCCCGTGGGATGCAGAGCCACGGGAAGGGTTTCTGAGGCGCTGTCTGTGTTTGCCTTGCAGGAGGTGCCCGGCATAGCATGAGTGCCGCCCCCGGCGTGGGCCATGCCCTTCCCCAACGGCTCTGAGCTGCGCCCGTCCTTCGTGCTGGCGGCGCTGCCGGGCCCGGAGGGGGCCCAGGCCTGGGTGGCCGCGCTGCTGTGCGGGGCCTACGCTCTGGCCGTGGCGGGGAACGGGGCGGTGCTGCTGGCGGTGCGGCTGGAGCCCGGCCTGCACGCGCCCATGTACCTGTTCCTCTGCATGCTGGCCGCCATCGACCTGGCGCTGGCCACCTCCACCGTGCCGCGCGTCCTCGCCTTCTACTGGTTCGGCACCCGGGAGATCGGCTTCGGCGCCTGCCTGCTGCAGATGTTCCTCATCCACGCCCTGTCGGCCGTCGAGTCCACGGTGCTGCTGGCCATGGCCGTGGACCGCTACGTGGCCATCTGCCACCCGCTGCGCCACGCCGCCGTGCTCACCAACGCCGCCACCGCCCGCGTCGGGCTGGCGGCCGTGGCCAGGGGCGTGCTCTTCTTCCTGCCCCTGCCCCTGCTCCTGCTGCCCCTGCCCTTCTGCGGGTCCCGCGCCCTGTCCCACTCCTTCTGCCTGCACCAGGACGTGATGAACCTGGCCTGCGCCAACACCACCCCCAGCGTGGTGTACGGCCTGGCCGCCATCCTGCTGGTCATGGGGCTGGACGCCGTCCTCATCTGCCTCTCCTACCTCCTCATCCTCAAGGCCGTGCTGCGCCTGGCGGCCTGGCGGGAGCGGCTCAAGGTGTTCAGCACCTGCATCGCCCACATCTGCGTGGTCCTGGCCTTCTACGTGCCCCTCATCGGGCTGTCTGTGGTGCACAGGTTCGGGAGGGACCTGGCCCCGCTGGTCCACATCACCATGGGGAACATCTACATCCTGGTGCCCGCCGTGCTCAACCCCATCATCTACGGGGTGAGAACCAAGCAAATACAGAGGAGGATCTTGAGTCTGATCCGTGTCGGTGACAGAACTTCCCAGTGACCTGTCCCGTGTCCTCACGGCTCATGTTCCACCCTCGGCATCCATGGCACGGGACTGTCCTCTGGGTGCATTCCGAGGTGCTGCCAGGAGGCAAAAGGTAAAGAGTGGTTACAAACTCCTTCCAAGAGTGTTTGCCCTCATCAAACTCAGAGAGAATCTACTACAGTGATCTAAACCCAAGCCTGGCCGAGCAGGTTCTGCAATTGGAAGGAAAAGTGACTCAACAAACTGATAAAAATATCTCGGCATTGCACTTCTTCATTCCCATCTCACCCATAACAGGGGCAGGGCAGAGCAGATGCTGCAGTGGTTTGGGCTGATTTTCTTAATTCATCGTTTCCACATGTGGCACATTCACATCCCAGAACTTCTTCCAGAATCTTTGGCCATAGCATCAACGCCCAAGTAAAATAATAACAACACATTACATTACAGATGCACAGATGAGCTTCAGAAGAGGAACTTCCACCTCTGTGGTCCTGTTCTGAGATTCTGGGTGCTCAGTGAAGACCCCTCAGC